TTAGCAAGAAAAATCAGCAAAGTAAAGTCACTTTGCACTCATAATAATTTGCCTCCAAAAATAACTTTGCACTCAAAAACACATTTGGAGTGTATATACTCCTCGGTTACGCAATAAGTTATTGTGGCCATGAATTAACTTTTCGAGTGCTTCAGGCATAAACTAACTTCTCGGATGCTTCAAGCATGAGTTTACTTCTCGGATACTTCATGCTTCAGGCATGAGCTAACCTTTTTGTCCATGAATATATTTTCATGAATTACTCAAACATTATCATGACACTAATCATTTCTTCATCAATACCTCATCATTTCATTATCATCATTTATCACAGTATTTGCTTCAGGCAAATTACCTAAAATCATCAAGATGAGGCGCATTCTTCGACGACCAAATGCTTTGGTGTGCGGCACATTGGGATCAATGCCCTTCAAACCCACATTGTTAGCAAACCTGCTTCTGGCTAGGATTTTGCCTCGATGAGTTTGGTCGTCCTTGAATATCTTGATCACTTTGTTTCTTATTCTAAGCTCGAAACTCATACCACACCGGTTATAATTTCGACTGCAACCCTTTATAAAGTTACTCAACTAGGTAACATTATGTGCTTCAGGCACCTGTGCAAAATCAACCAAACATGCATTTTGATTCTTCATCAACAACTAGTTATGTTTCTTAGCCACAAGAAGTGCTAAAATCACCTTAGGATGTTTCTCATAATTTGTTGTCTTGTACTACTGCTGGAGTACAAATTACTCACACGAAAAGTTGACAATGTCTTTTCAATTAAATATTTCTCTAAAACTTCTTGTTTAGAGTTTCACTTCTGAGACTATTTTGTGCAGAGCTGAATTATAGTCAGTTACTGACTTATAATCTTAAAACTTAAGATTAATCTAGTCAAATTGTGTCCGAGGAAGGACAATAGATGACTACTAGTCAAAATGGTCCTTCAGGGACTTACATAACGCAATATGGACTTTTTCAATCAAATACTCATTTTTAAGATCGTAGTTCAAGTAGTGACGTATGAAAATGAGAGCTTGTGCCTTCTGGGCATCGGTTCTCTGTGACTTGGCAACAAAATTTTGGCTCGATTTCTTAGATGCCAAATATATTTCAATATCCAAAGCCCAAGTGAAATAATTGCTATCGACATGAGCGAGCTCAATAAATTCACATTTTCAATGAAAGGCATAATCTACAAGATCATCATTTGATGCAACTTTAGGAAGCAATGTGACAACTTGTGGAAAAACCACTATTTTGAATACATGTGCAAGCAATGGATGAAGAAACACCTTTTACATAGATATGCATATCCGTTTCTTAGCATTCTAATACAAACAGTCAAACACAACAATCCAATGCAAACATAATAAGGACCGATTATGCATTCGATATCCATAGTCATAGAACATACACGGATACATATACATACAATTTGGCATATATTAACCACATGCATTTACCATTTCAAAGCATCGTGGTTCATATAGAGCCTATCTCATATACATGAATTGAGAGAATAAATAAAGATAATATGTATTTACAAATTCATGTATTTACCCAAATTCTTAACCATGTCTTGATGAGGGGTTCATCACTCAAAAGTTGTTAACAAACATGAAGAATTATCACCCATTTCATAGAAACAATAATTGAAGGTTCCAAACCAAACTCATAGCCATATATACGCATAATATTTATATATAAACAATGACATATGATTCAAAAACAAAATGCACAGGAAAAATGAACCAATAGTACCATTCACCGGAGATTACAATAGAGACTCGTGCTGATAACGTGTTGTAATTCGGCCTATCAACTCGTTAGTTCTCGCGTGATGATTGCACAGTAATTGCCCAGAAGTTCGTATGTATGTATATGCGTGTATATGTAACGAAGTAAAAAGGGAGAAAGAAGAAGAAGAGAGGGACACAAGATGTAGAGCACAAAACATGAGATCTCTCAATTTCATTAAGCCTTCGCATCTATTTATACTAATCCATACAACTTTTCATATGCTTAACATAAACAATATATTAAGTAGAAGGCAAATGGAGAGTCTCAAGATTAATGGCCACTAATAAAATATTTATAACAATGAGCATATTTATAAAACCAAAATCAAAAGAATAAAGTAGCTTTAGCCAAATCATACCCAAAACAATATAATTTATTATAGTTAAAACATAGAACAAAAAATAAGAGCCTCCAAGCATATTACTATTTTAGCTCCAACACCATGTGCATTACTGAATATATGACTAAACAAGTTACAAATATTTTCCTTTAAAAAAAAAAAAAGTTACAAATATTTTGCCAATGACCTTGTGATTTAGTAGCACGAATAGACTTTTTTAAATGAAAGGTCATGTATTTGAATCTTGGTGGGGTGAATTATGTTACAAAATAGGATTTTTATCCATGCATTTTGTTAGACAAAATTACTCTAACACTATTATTATTTAATAATAACTCCATCATTATTACCATGCATGCACCTACATCATACATATAACAATTAATTTAATTGTAGATTATATTTTAATTAAATATTTTTTTGAATGCTACTAGCTCTATTACATTGTAGTATCTGTTCATATACTTTCTCAACCTACTAAAACACAAAGAGCTAATAACGCCTCCACTGAGACTCGAACTCACAATCTTCCAAATGGAAGTTCAACTCGGATACCATTGGACCACATAGTCCTAATATATTTTAATTAAATATATTTGAATGTTAAATCATATATTTATATAATACATATATTATTTATGTATACCAATATACGTGGTTTTAGCTTAATATATAGCTTCTTTTTCTTTCTTTTTTTATTTTTTTTATGTAAGTATAAGTTTTATGAAAATTGTGTAAATTATAGTAAAACAAAAAAAAAAAATTATTTCCTTTTCTCTATATTATTCAAATATATATAATAATTAAAATTTATCATTTTAAGAAATTGTGAAATATAATTTGAACTAATTTATTATTTTATTTTTATTTAGCAATATTTTAATATTGATTATGAATTTTTGCGTATTGTGTGTACAAAATGCTTGTGTGTGTGTGTGTGAGAGAGAGATGCAAGTACCCGTGAAAACAAGTTTTCCTATGTAGACATACATTACGCAAAATTACATAGTGCATAAGATAATATGTAAAAGTGAATTCAAAATCTAAAACTTTAAAAGTGCACTAAAAATACTCTAAAAGTGCATCATGTAAAATTATGAAGTGTATCTAATGAGGCAAATTATGGTCCACACAGTGCTGTGTGGACCATAACAAAAAGTACATTTTTAATATGCTAAATGTAAATTATACAATATAATGTACACTCAGTACACAAATAATGTACATCTCCTTAATACAAGGTATATTTTTAATATACTAAAAGTACATTATTTTTGTACTGAATGTACATTATTTTACAGTATACAAAATATGGTCCACACAATAATGATTGATCTGATGATATGTAAAAAAGCAATCATGATAATTGCATATTTGCATTGGTACATATCATTGGATGCACATTGTGGTTTTTTTTTTTTTTTTAATTTTTTTAGATAACAAGAGAAACTCTCAGCCACTATTTGAAAATATATATTATGAAAATCTCGTTTTTATTAAATGATCTGTAAACCACCAAAAAAAACAATAAAAAAAAAAAATCTTGTGCAACAAGTTTGATGGGATCTGTTTATATGTATGTGCATTTAATATGTGCGCAGTTATACCACACCTACTATTGCATGAAAAGTTAGACTTAATATTTTGTATTTACTAAATTAATTATTTGACAGGGCATTTAGTACATGTTGCTATTCCTGCATCCAGAGGGGAGTACGTTCGATGGAATAATTTCTTAGAAGTATTACCGCACCCTAACGGATTAGGCCCATTTTTTACAGGTCCGTGGAATCTTTATATTCAAAACCCCGATTCAAGTAGTCATTTATTTGGGACCTTCCAAGGAGCAGGAACTGCCATTGTAACGCTTCTCGGGGAATTTCATCCACAAACGCAAAGTTTATGGCTGATCGATATTGCACACCATCATTTAGCTATTACATTTCTTTTTCTCTAATAGTTGATCATATGTATAGAACCAATTTCAAAATTGGATACAGTATTTAAGATCTTTTAGATGCACATATTTCTCCGGGCTCCGGGAGAATTCGGTTAGGGATTCCCCCAATTACACAGAATAAGGCTGTCAAGATATTTTAAATTGAATTTCATAAGGTCCAAAAATTCTCTTGTCACATCTATTCCAAACACTCCATTTATTACATCCACAGATCCTATAAAATCTGCAACATCTTTGGTGATGCCTGTTTCCAATATTCTCTCTATAAGGATGGAGTACGTGCATTATATTCGACAAGGCTGTCTCATATCTAAAGTACTTGCATGCAATATATGAAACTGTTGGATCGGATGTAGCCATTTCAAGCAGACAAACAACCTAAGCATTGTGGTCCTCAATTCGAATTACAGTCATTTGATGTACTATAATTAGGGGTGAGCCAAAAAATCGAACCATCCGAATATTTCGATTTTCGATTATTAAAGTAAACAAAAAACAAAAATCGGTTATTTTGGTTTTTTGGTCTGTTATCAGTTTTTTAAGAAAAAATCGAAAATCGACCGAAACCAATTGATGCTCACCCCTAACTATAATAATATTAAGGGAAAGGGTCACACTTGTGTGAGACCATCTTACGAATCTTTATTCGTGAGACGGATCGTATTAATATATAAATAAATGTAATACTTATACTAGCAAATGTAGGGTCACACTTGTGTGAGACCGTCTCACGGATCTTTATTCGTGAGAAGGGTCGGGTCGGGTCAATATGCAAATGTAATACTAAATTAGGAATAAAATGTTTATAACTTATTATAAGGGAAAACATAATACTTTTGAGGAAAAATATAATACTTTTATATTTTTTCATCAAAAGTATTATATTTTCCCTTATAATTTCTGGACGGAAAAAGTTGTCTGCGACGGTCCTCCACTGTCGGCAACGAACTCCTCGGCACTGAGGAGGTCCGAGAGTTCATGAAGGGTCATCGGTGTTCCTCGGACATTGAGAGAAGATACAAGACCCCGAAATTCAGGCCGCAAACCCTGAAATACGTAAAGGTTTTGTTATTCAAGCGGAAGGTGCCGGCCAGCGAGAGTTAGATCCTCAATGAGAACCTGTGCCCGGCCGATATAATCAGTGACGGAAGCATCACCTTGTTGCAACGTCTGAAGTTGCCCGAGAAGGTTCAACGAGCGAGACCGAGATGAAGAGGCAAGTGCGGAGGTAACAACAGTCCACACTGCACGGCTGGTGTGATGTCCGATAGCCAAGGACATAACTTCATCAGACAATGATGACATGAGCATAGAGAGAAGTGCCTGATCCTGACGAACCCATGGATGATAAGCAGGATTCGGCAGAGGCAGAGCTCCCTCTTCACCGGACGAGATCGTGGCCGGCGGGCAAGGATTTGTTCCGTCGATGAAACCCATTAGATCATGTCCGTTGAGAAAAGGAACAACTTGAGCCCTCCAAAATAAGAAGTTCCAATGAGTCAATTTGACGTCGATGAAGTGATGAGTCGTGGAGAGGGTGGTTACGTTTAAAGTAACTGATGAGAGAGGGGTATCAAAAACGGTCCGTTCAGAGGAATTGACAGATCTGTCAGCCATTGGATATAAACCCTAGCTAGATGATACCATATGAGAACTGTAATAGTTTTTTTAATATTTAATTTAATAAAATACACACACACGTATGTATGTATATATATATATATATGACGTTCTTTTATATTAAAAATGAGATGTGTAATTTATAATGTGTTCTCTATTCAAATTATTTTATCAAATTAATTATGTTTCATATTTTGTTATGAATATTTTTAATAAAATTTTGATGTGTTTATTTTTCGCTCATATCCAACAATATTTATACCTATATTTCTTGGGTAATTTATTAATTTTTTTAAATTATCTCTTTTGTTTTAATGTTTAGCCTTCACAAGAAAAAATTGATGGATCTGTCCTTGCTTCTTCGCCACCCCCTCCTCTTTAACAAAATTCCTGGCTCTGTCCCTGCACAGAAGCAATAAATTCAGCGATCTATATGACATTTTTTTTCTCAAATATAAATATCATAAAATAATTTAGCATGTTTTAATTTTGTCGTCATTTTCTCAACTTTTTCCATCAATAGTCGTTCAAAATATCCAAACAACTCCATATATGGCAATGGACGTAGAAAGTATGAGAGGTTGTCTCATATCTAAATGCACAATTGGCAAAAGATCCAAGAAGTTAAGTGTATGTGGGCTATTTCACCCCCTGCCCCGGCAATCACAAGCTAAGCTTGCAAAATATAAGCTCTTTCCATGACAGTGGACGGCCCGATATGAAGGCGGGCAAAACGACAGCTAAATGAGCTGGAAATAATTGTCGCCAAACTCTTCATTAGTTTTTTTACTTTAGTATATGTGAAGCTGCGCCACGCATTATGTTTGGCTTAATGGATTTTTTGCACCTTTGCTTCAAATCTGCTGTACAACAATGGGATGATTGGGGATGAGTGTGTTATCTTTCACTCCCGCTTGCCCCGATGAGTGCTGATTGTCGTTAATTCAAACTGAGATAAGTTACAGAGATACTAAAGGGATTAGAGTCCTATCTAACTATCCTATACAGTAGCTATCAATTACAGGACTAATTCAACTATAATAATAATAATACAAGCTAAGCATAATACAACCCTATCTAGTGGGAAACGAGACGATTTTCCGAGTTGACACGACGAACATAACTGCGGCACACTTGATTTGGATTGAGTGACCGGGCATTTTTGTAAGACACGAATTTGGGCACGCACGTTCATGCGGATGTCCAAGCCTGCAATGCCAAACATCAGGTGGCGCACGAGCGGTTATTAACGCAACATGTGACCAAGATATGGGTAGCTTGTACAAACCCGCCGTGGTAGGACCCCTAAGGAGCACCGCCTTGGTGTGACAGTCCTTCACAACAAAATGATCACGGTGAAATTCAAAATAAACATCATTGTTAATTGCAAAGCGATTAACAGACAATAATGGTAAAGAGAGACGGGGGGACATGTAATATATTGTTTAAATTTAAAGTTCTAGACGCAGAGTTTAGTGATGCATGGCCAACACTGGTTATACCCAAACCTGATCCATTGCCCACACGGAGGACATCACCGCCGGAGTAGGGATCCGATTGCGCCATCATCGTCTGATCGGGCGTAGCGTGTGACGACGCCCCGGTGTCCGGGTACCATGCGTTCGCCACCACTGTGCCATCGTCGCCGGGGACCGCCGCATGAGCCTGCGACTGTGGTGCGCCGGCGTACCGCTTGAAGCAGTGGAGAGCCGTATGCCCATGGGAGCGGCAGATTTGGCACCTCGGACCACCACCACCACGGCCTCTGCCTTGCCCTCCACGTCCACGGCCATCCCGACCTCGCAACTGTCCAGAACCAGCGTGCCGGGGACCTCCGCCTGCCGCCTGATTCTGTGCGTAGCCGCGACCAGCCACCATCGCCGTTTGTGAGCCGCCGACTGATGGACCTCCGGCAGTGGAGAATTCATCCGCCCTGATGAATTCTTGGGCCTGGAGATAATCCGAGAGCTGAGGGATTGAAACTGGTGCGCCAGACACCGCGAGGGACGATGCCATTGACCGGAACTCTGGCCGGAGTCCACGGAAAACCCAGAGGTTTTGTTCATCAAGCGAGACCGGCCGGCCGGCTAGCGCAAGATCCTCCACCAATAACTGCGCTCGGCCGAGGTATTCGGCGGGGGTGCTATCTCCCTGCTTGAGTGACTGGAACTGAGCGAGGAGGTTGAGACACCTCGCCCGAGTCGAGGAACCGAGCGCCGCTGTGATGGACATCCAGACTTCTTGCGACGTTGTGCGGCCAACGGCGAGGTAAAGGACCTCATCGGCCATTGAAGTTGAGGAGTGACAGGATCGATTGATCCTGTTGCACCTGTTAGATATACAATAGTCTAACTATATGAACCATAGTATACGAGAAACCTAACCTCGTATGATAGCGGAAGCGTAGCCGTGTTGATCTCCAGCCATAGTTGGTGTTCCTGTTGTGTTGCCTCTTAACGGTAGACCGTCAGCCATGTTTTGCCTCAGACCTGACTCAGAACCCTAGATGGTGTATTGGTATCTACTGAGCGGTCTGAGTACCGTAACTGAATGTGCTAACAACAACCATCCTGTATCCCATCAATACAGGATTATATTAGGCACAGAGTTTGGTTGACTAACAACTACTAGTTATTAAGTCCAACCACACCACTTAATAAGCCTAGTCAACTTGCACCACTTAATTAAGGCCCTAATATATAATATCAATATATATTATAAGGGAAAATCTTACAGCACCCACACACCATGCGCCGGATTCACCATTGTCGTCGTCGTGGCGTCGGAGGCAGCTTCACCAGACGCCGGCGTTTCGAGGGTTGCCGGTGGACACGGCGTATCGCCAGTGACAAATCCAAGGAGGCCTTGTCCACGCAAAAAGGGTACTAATTGGGTGCGCCAGAAGAGGAAATTTTCGTGGTAAGCTTCATAGATATAAAATGGTGAGCCGAGGCTAAGGTGTTGGGGGTGGACGGGGGTGGTGGTGTAGCGGCGGTGACCGTTCTTTCGCTAGAGTTTGTCGACATAGTTTCGGGAAGGAGAGAGAGAGATCACCTAGCTTACTGATACCAGATGAGTGAAATTGATTGTCATTAATTCAAACTAAGATAAGTTACAGAGATACTAAAGGGATTAGAGTCCTATCTAACTACCCTATACAGTAGCTATCAGTTACAGGACTAATTCAACTATAATAATAATACATGCTAAGCATAATAAATGAATAGGAAATATAAGATTACTAACAACCCCCTTTTATAATGAAATACACGCACGATTACTTTTGGACAAAAACTTGTGCGGAGCTGTCTCACCGTGAATCACATTGGGTAGGGTCAAGATGAAAATGTAATACTTATACACACAAATGTAATACTAATTATGAATAAAGTGTTTATTACTTATATGGAAAAATGTACTCCGTAATACTAAAATGTAATACTTTTATATTGATTTAAAAGTATTATATTTTTTCTCAAAAAAAATATTATATTTTCCCTTATAAGTAACAAACACTTGACAACATTACATATTAGGGAAAATGCATGTAATACTTTTGATAGAAAATATAATACTTTACATCAAAATATAAAAAGTATTACATTTTTCACAAAAGTATTACATTTTAATTTCCTTTATGAGTAACTAACGTTTTATTCTTGATTAGTATTACATTTGAGTATATAACATTTACATGTTGATCCGATCGACCGATCCATCTCACGGATGACGGTCTCACACAAGTGTTACCTATTTTTTATACGATCACTACAATAATTTAAATGTCCCTCGTCTCTCTTACAGGGCGTTTGGTTGGGACTTGGGAGGAGAGAATTAGCGAGGAAAGGATTTGTAATTTCGTAGAAAAAGAATAAGGTGGAATAAAGTAGGAATTCAAATTAAATTGTTTGGTAGGGAGGAATATCTACTATCTACTATACTAATAAGAGCCCAAGAGAGTTAGGCCTATAATGGGTAGAAAAAATAGCGGTCAAATTATTTAATCAAATGAATGGCTCAGATTGATCAGATTTTAATTTTTCCTTGAGATTTCCTAATTTATCCCTAATGAATATGATTATCCGTTAACTTTTCCGTTAAATATTATCTTTTCCGTTAGTTTCTGTCAATTCACCGTTAACTTACTCATTAATTTTAATAAGAAAGGTCTCTGGTTCGAACCCCATCCCAATCAAATAAAAGTTGGCATAATTAGTACTCTATTTTACTCTTATTAAATTATTAATTAATAATTTAGTAGCTACAACAAAAAATAATACATATGCATTTCTTTAATTTAGAATTATGTGTGTACAATATCTTTATTCAAAAAAAAATTATTTATTATCAATAAATTAATTAAGAGAAATAATTTCATTAGTTATATTGTCTTTATTTTTCTCCAATATAAAATTCCTTCCACTCAAATTAATCAATTAATTATATTCACTACATTGTCTATTATCTTTTTTGTGCACTATTTTTTAATTAAATCTACTATACTAATAAGAGCCCAAGAGAGTTAGGCCTATAATGGGTAGAAAAAATAGCGGTCAAATTATTTAATCAAATGAATGGCTCAGATTGATCAGATTTTAATTTTTTCTTGAGATTTCCTAATTTATCCCTAATGAATATGATTATCCGTTAACTTTTCCGTTAAATATTATCTTTTCCTTTAGTTTCTGTCAGTTCACCGTTAACTTACTCATTAATTTTAATAAGAAAGGTCTCTAGTTCGAACCCCATCGCAATTAAATAAAAGTTGGCATAATTAGTACTCTATTTTACTCTTATTAAATTATTAATTAATAATTTAGTAGCTACAATAAAAAATAATACATATGCATTTCTTTAATTTAGAATTATGTGTGTACAATATCTTTATTCAGAAAAATTATTCATTATCAATAAATTAATTAAGAGAAATAATTTCATTAGTTATATTGTCTTTATTTTTCTCCAATATAAAATTCCTTCCACTCAAATTAATCAATTAATTATATTCACTACAGTGTCTATTATCTTTTTTGTGCACTATTTTTTAATTAAATCTACTATACTAATAAGAGCCCAAGAGAGTTAGGCCTATAATTGGTAGAAAAAATGGCGGTCAAATTATTTAATCAAATGAATGGCTCAGATTGATCAGATTTTAATTTTTCCTTGAGATTTCCTAATTTATCCCTGATGAATATGATTATCCGTTAACTTTTCCGTTAAATATTATCTTTTCCTTTAGTTTCTGTCAGTTCACCGTTAACTTACTCATTAATTTTAATAAGAAAGTTCTCTGGTTCGAACCACATCCCAATCAAATAAAAGTTGGCATAATTAGTACTCTATTTTACTCTTATTAAATTATATTAATTAATAATTTAGTAGCTACAACAAAAAATAATACATATGCATTTCTTTAATTTAGAATTATGTGTGTACAATATCTTTATTCAAAAAAAATTATTCATTATCAATAAATTAATTAAGGGAAATATTTCATTAGTTATATTGTCTTTATTTTTCTCCAATATAAAATTCCTTCCACTCAAATTAATCAATTAATTATATTCACTACATTGTCTATTATCTTTTTTGTGCACTATTTTTTAATTAAATATCAAAGTTATAATACAAAATAATGCTATATATTTATTTACCAAGTATTTTATTAATACCATGAAAAAATTAAAAATTAAAAAATCATAATTAATAAAGTCAGTCATATTAACTACTTGAGGGATTTGTTGACAAAGAGAGTATTCAAATCACACAACAAATTGAAGTGAGAACTACATCGCAATGTCCCTGTTTGATAATCAGCAGTTAATTAACGGTTAGCGTCAGTGGATTTGACCAGCGAATTATATCAACGGTGGGTAAAAAGATATTTGAAAAAATTAGCCGTTTAGATTAACATGTATAATGACCTAAGGGTATACATAATAATAATAATAATAATAATAATAATAATAATAATAATAATAATAATAATAATAATAATAATAATAATAATAATAATAATAATAATAATAATAATAATAATAATAATAATAATAATAATAATAACAATAATAATAATAATAATAATAATTATTATTATTATTATTATTATTATTATTATTATTATAATAATTATAATAATTGTTATAAAAAAAATAAAAAAAAAGTATAATTAATCCAATCATATTAACTACTTGGGGGATTTATTGACAAAAAGAGTATTCAAATCACACAACAAATTGAAGTGAGAAACTATCTCGCAATGTTATTGTTTGGCAATCAACAGTTAGCTCTTCAATATTAGTATATATTTAATATTTTATGTCATAATTTTTATTTGCTCTCTCTTATTTCCCGTATTTGGTTTCAATCATACCCATACAATTATTTTATTGACAATTATAATCAATCTTGACTATATTATCTTGCATTTGTAAACTTAGAATTACCTATTTAAATACGCAAATTAAACATTCAATTATCTATACATGAATAATTTCAATATAATCTTGCATTGATATATTTTATAGTACTTATTTAAAAAAAAAAAAACATTGGGCATTATCTCAATCGCGCAATGCGCGTAAAAAACTAGTAATTACTAGAAATTGATAGGGGAAGAAGTGATGTAAAGACTAAAATAGTAAAATACCCTCGTGTAGTAATAATAATAATAATCAAAGGTAATTTTGTCATTTTCTTTTTTTTTTTTCCTTTCCCTATTGCTGCTGAATTCCAATTTAAGGGGGAGAGCTATGAATTCCAAACAATGTAGTTTCAAATGTTAAAGAATTTGGTTGGAAAAGAATCGTAATTACATCCAATGTAAGCAAACACCCGGTAAGTCTTATGTTCGTTGTATGCGCAGTTCAGATAATGAGATTTAATTCGAGATATTAACAATTCAATTTTTATAATTTATACAGTGAAAACTACTTTGTCAATATTTAATGATTTTATGTTAGGGGTTGAGTAAAACTATTCACTTTAAAAATAATTAGGACAGAAAATGTGTTGTGCTTATAATGAAAGGACCAAAAAAATTATCACTATAATTTAGGGTCAAATTTGTCATCTTTTCTTATTTTGATTTTTTATGTATATACATAAATTTGATGAGCATATTTATAAAACCAAAATCAAAAGAATAAAGTAGCTTTAGCCAAATCATACACAAAACGATAAAATTTATTATAGTTAAAACATAGAACAAAAAATAAGAGCTTCCAAGCATATTACTATTTTAGCTCCAACACTACCATGTGCATTACTGAATATATGACTAAACA